TATATATATATATATATATACGTATATATTAAAGAGATAATTACATATATAGCCCATGAAACATGACTATTTACAAATCTAGCACCTTCATTTCATTCATTTCTTGAACATAAAAATTCCCAATAATATTGCAATCCATATTTTTCATGTTCGTCAAATTCTTAATAGTTTGATCGAAACAAGCATTCGGAATTTCAAAATTAGAAGATTAACATGTTTTTCTTGTTTTCTTACAATATATTTAAACAAATAAATTTCAAAAAAAATTGAAATAAATATATTAATTATCTTCTCTAATTATTTATTTATTTATTTTCAAACCTCCCCCTTATTGTTGTCAAATATAGCTTCTTTTATCTAGCTTTAGATTTTTAGCCAAATATGCACACTGTCCATCCTTACCAAATATTTAAAATTTTAGTTATAATTATTTGTTTATTCACACTAATGACACGTGTTTAGGGTTGTCAAAACGGCTCGTTGTTCGCGAACAACTTGTGTTCGACTCGTTAAGAAGCTCGTGTTCGGCTCGTTAATTTCGTTTGATAAGTTAACGAGCCGAACACGAATTAAGATGTGTTTGGCTCGTTTTGGCTCAAAATACTACCGACCAACAGCTAAGATGTGTTCGTTCGTGTTCGGCTCGTTTTGGCTCAGCATACTACTCATTAAGTTTATATATATATATTAAGTAGTATTTTAAAAAAATCTGATTGACTACAAGACTACAAAGATTTATAACCAATTAAAATATTGATTAAGAAAATAAAATAAAATTATTAAATTAGATTCAAAAATTAGATTAAATTAGATTCAAACGATGTTTTAAATCTTGCCTCAATCTTTAACTTCTTATGGCTACATGATTAGGGTTGTCAAAACGCCTCTTTGTTCGTGAGCGGCTTGTGTTCGGCTCGTTAAGCAAACGAACCGAACACGAACACACTTTTTGAGCTCGAAATATAAACGAGCCGAACACGAGCACGAGCGAGCTGAGCATAGATCGGTCGTGTTCGGCTCGTTTACTCCCCTACACGTGTCAGAGAATCAATCCTAATGAATGTCACGAGCTATCAGTCAGCACGGATCAGATGATCCCACGGACGGAGCAGAAATCAAAAGGCAGACCGAATGAATCGACAAACGACTTACTAATGTAAGAGTAAGTGAGATGGAGATTCGACGAGTGTCAATTCTACCATGATAACGATTATCTGAACTTCTTCACTAAAAAAGCTAAGAGGATAATATCAAACCATATGGAAAATCAAAGTAAATTTTCCCTTAGTCTTTCTACCCTCATCATTCAAACAGTGACAGGGATGAAGAGAATCCAAAGCACTTGCTATCATGCTATGGGCGGCCGGATGCATGGAGGCACGTGATCAGTCATTCTTCCTCCCAACCAATCTTTATTTCATGAATTATCATAATATTTATAAAAAATAAAAGTATTTTCAAGCAAGGTAAAGTGACATATATCAATATATGCATGTTCTTAAGACAAAATGTGTGATAAAATTGCCTCTAGAAGTTTAAAGGGAAATTTGCATCTTAGCACATAATTCTTATGTATTTACATTTCGCATACTAAGACTTTCAAGTTTACTTATAAAGCACTTTTTATGCTTTAAAACTATAGATAAAATGTGTATTTTACTTATAAAAAATGATAAAACTGTTATTTTTGATATAATCTTAAGGATTTAAGTTATATGTGTGTAAATATGGAAGTTTAGGTGCGAGATATATAAATACAAATGGATTATGTGTTATTTATGTAAATGTTAGCATTTTAATAGAATGTCCTCTAGTGAATTTTAAGCCTTTTTAGCTCTTGATTTTTAATTTAAATTTATAAGGAATATGAAATTATATTCAAAACTTTGTTAAATATCTAATTTAATTTAATTGTGTAATTAATAAAACTTAATTTCATTTTAGAAGAGAGAATAAAACTTTGTTAAATATCTAAGTTTTAATGACTGATGGGGGAATAATGGTCATGCAATCCATGAAAAAAATAGAGTCAGTAATTTTTCTTATTTTCTTTTCCGTTTTAATAATTCTATAATTTAAATTATTTAATTTAAATTTAAATTTTGAAAAATTGATACAAAAAGTCATAATTTGATTATATATCTATATATAGATAATTGGGAAGCCATGAGGATAATAGTTAGCAGTTATGCATGTAAATCTAAACTGAAATACGATGATATTCGTGATTTGATTTTGGCTGAGGAAGCTCGCAGAAAAGATTTTGGCGAGGTCTCAGGTTCGAGTTCGGCACTGAATGTTGATTTCA